TGCTGCTAGGTTAGTTGTCTGATTGTGCTAGGTTAGTTGTCTGATTGTGCTAGGTTAGTGTCCGCATTTTAAGAGCTGACCTCATTTGATCCGCTCCCTATATATATATACATATAGGGAAGGGTTCTAATAAGAACCCTTATTAGTGTGAGAACTAGGAACTAATAACAGCCCTTCATTTTTGTAGGTTGGACGGTGTGGATTGGACCTTATTGTAGTGGCAACAAAAGTGCAAAAATCAATTTAATATTAGCAGCAGGGTAAATTAGGAACAATGAAATGTTGAGATTCATTGTAATAGGAAATATCCGGATTTGAGGGAACCGAACAGTCACATAGAAGGTAAGTTAATCAATCAAGCAAAATAATATGAGAAAAAAAATAATCTTGTTGCACTTTTATTGCTACGATTACAGATCTTTGCTGGCAATAAAAAACCCCTATAATAAATCGTTGCGGCAGTCGTGACAAGTTTCGTTGCCGGAATTACACCGGCAGATGCGTGGTGTAGCTTTTGAACAGGGTTAACAAAAGTGCACGTGAACAAGTTGTACACCGTTGGACGCTTGAAAGGTGAGATTTTTCTTTTCTTTTATACATTTTCAGTGATAGCAGTTGCATTGTCTAAAAAAAACTGATAATTTTTACAGTCATATTTGGGAAAAAGAGCACATATATACGCAAAAGAGCATATTGATAATTTTTTTTTTTTTTGAATCACTGCTTGGAAATTATAGCAATTAAACTTCATTTGTTTTAGAATAAGTTAGTGCTGCTTTAATAAGAGACTGACTAAGCATTTCTTTAATTGTGATATGTAATACATGTGTGAAAAATCATAATGATTTGTTTAATTTGTATTTGAAGAATTTTTTGCTTGATTAACAATTTAAGTGTGATGCTATTAGTATGTAGTATATGTTCCGTGCTGCATTTTAATTTGCTAATTTTCTGGCACATTGTTGCAAGTTACTATTTTTTATGAAATTTATTTTTTAGAAATTTGAAAAATACAAATATTGATATGTACTTTCATAATATTTTGTTATTTTCAACTTTGTTGAACATTGGTATATAGAATATGCTACTTTTGCATTGTATATAGAATATAATATCAGTTTGTAGAACACTATGAGATTGATGATATTAGTATATAAAATATGCTACTTTTGCATTGTAGTGTGCTAATTTTATGTCAAGTTGTTGCATATTACCTTTTTATATGAACTGTAACATTTAGAAATGGGAAAACCTTGCACCCAAAATGGTCACCAGATTAGGAACAACCTCAATCGTCTTTAGCAAAGGTGCATCAACTATTTTATGTTATTATTTTTATGTACTGGTAGTTAATTCTTTCACTGCATCCAAAAGCATTATATAACATTAGAAGAGGAACAAAATCATTATTTCAATGTATATAAAAAGGTGGCAGCAGGTTGAAACACACGTTTCTTCAGGCGCCATCTTCTTTATCTGTATCTTTAACTCTTTTATTTGATTTGTTTGACTAAATGCTTGTAGACAGATGTTGTTTGATATTGTTGTATGACCCTGTGATGTATCAATTTTTTAATAAATGTTGCATTTAATTAATTAATAAATATGGGCTATTTTGAATATATAATCGTGCTAAGTTATATTTGTGATAATGCTATTCAATACACTTGCTTCAATAATAACACTTTACGTTTATCTATTCAAATATAATGTTGGCTTCATGGGTTTGTTTTACATATTAAATCTTGGTAATATGAATAAGAATGTATTTGAGTTTTTTGTATCTGTTTATGCTAGTTTTTTCCCTACATGAAGCAATAAACTTTATGAAATAATTCTTGAACACATGTCATTCCTACTTTTTTGCAAAAGGTGATTCATTGGTAAACTACGAGCATAACGGTGTACCATACGTAGCTGAAGTAACTATGAATGAAGCCAATGACACAGAAGCTGAAAATGTGGGTGGTGGTGCTACTTATGTAGTTAATAATGACGAGAGCGGAGATGAGTCGGATAGTGATTATTCAGAAAATGATGAGGAACAACATGTTTATGACAAACTCAAAAGCAGAACATGCCCCCAGGTGTTGGTTAGTTCCTGCAAGAAAATGAATGCCGCACAGAAAAAAGCAATTAATGAGATTGGCTTTGGAAGTATATTTCATCTAAGCGTGAACAAATTACCAAGGAAATTGGGATATTGGTTGCTAGATAATTTTCATCCCAAGACATGTGAGATAAAGCTACAAAATGGATATAGTCTGCATATTGAATCTAAAGATGTAGCGTTGGTCTTAGGGTTTCCAAATGGTGAGAGTGCTATACAAAAGAAAAGGAAACACGAATGGTGCTCATTACTTGAAGAGTGGAGTGGGAAATTCGTTAAAGACAAGAGGAAAATTCTTCCCACTGATGTGTCAGTACAAATGTTGTCCAATCAGGATGGGGGCATATGGTTCATTCGACATTTTTTGGTTCTTCTCACCTCATGCTTGATAGAGACATCAGGTACTGGATACATTTTACCGCAAATAATGTCCCACTTCAACAATACAAGTGCTGCCCGACATCTCAATTGGTGTGACTATGTGTTGGAGTGCTTGGTTAACCATCACTTGACTTGGGCCAAAAACAAGAAAAAAAGTTTCAACGGGCCGATCTTTTTTCTGTTGGTACGTCTCTCAGCTTATTAGTATGTAATGTGAAAAACAAATGACATTGATGAATATCATGTTTTTTAGCAACGTCTGTTATTATTTTAGCAATTCTTTTAATGAAACAATAATTGTTAATAAGTATTTTTTATAATGCAGATGTTCTATGTCGATCGAGTTGTTATTTACAAAAGAATTGTGCCTAGATGTTTGCCGTTGGTAAAAGGTTGGACAGACAAAATACTACGAGAAAGGCAGAAGACCGAAATTAGATCTGGCAGATTTGGGGGTGGGTACCCAAGCGATCCGCACAAATCAAATGAAGGCTTGGTCTATGAAAACGTTGAGTTTGCTCAAAAGGCATCATTTGCACTAGAAATGGTGGCAGAAGCTCCAAATACCCATCTTGATGGCAATGCCAATTTAGATGCAGCTGAATCATTCATGACTGAATTTTTAAGAAAAAGCAAGATGGTTGCCAATGCAATAGTTGACATGTTGAGGGTGGTCGAGCAGGCACCTAATAAACTTAGTGAACACTATGACTATAAGATGGTGGTTGATACAGCAGGATCATTGTTGGGTTGCAGATCAACTGAAAATAACTTGCATAATGGTACGGAACCATCTTTATCTCAGAACCAAGGCTCACAATTAGATGATGCATTCTGGAGCGACCCGGAAACATTAGCCATAATTGAAGAAATAGAGAATGCAGTCATGAAAAGAGACGAATTCAAGAAATCTGAGGATGACATACCAAGTTTCAGCCTGGGCTTGACTCAAGAATTTGCTGATAAGATCGATGTGGTTGTCACAAAAAATGATCAGCCATGCACGTTGATTTCACCACAAGTGACCTCTAGGAGTATGCAATCCGCAGAGAAAAAAACACCAAAAGGCACGATTGCAGATCAGACAAACATGGTAAAGATCAAAACATGTGGTTGGAATAATATTTTCTATTTATAATTTTGATCATAAATTCTTGCTAGCATATTTATGATAATATGATTTAAATGGACACCAATTTAAGTATACTGAAATATATATATTGTGCTATTAAATGTTTTGTATTATGCAATTTTTATAAGTTTATTATGCTATATATACCTGAATTGTTTTTAAGCAACAACTATTATATATATAATATTGTGTTGGCATAGAACATCAAATTTGGTAAAAAAAAAATGCATCAGTCTGTTAAAATTGTGATCATGGTCTGTTTAATTTTTTAGAGAGAGCACAACATGTTGGTTATAATAACTAAAACACTGAGAAATGCATATGACTTGATAATCAAAATTATGGCAAGTACGAAACTCTTTAAGTGCTAGTATTTATTGAGAAGTATGAGATATTTTTGGCTTAGGCTATGCAGTCTTGTTGCTAATATTTGTTCATAGTTGTGCTATTTTTTTAATGTTGTACAAAGTTAATTGTGCTATATTTTTTCTTAAGGATGTGTGGGAAACGGGTAAGATTGATAGCCCTGCAGAAGTGTTCTCAGATGAAGTTTTCCTACCAAATGGCCAGTCCCTAAATCAAATAAATAAGAGAAAGAGGGAACAGGTTATTATCCTTTATATTTTTATGCACATAATTCTATTAATTGTCTTGGTGCGTTCAAATAATTTTAAAGATGTCTAATTTCGTGCAGCTTGAAAACAAGAAATGGAAATTGATATGCAGTCCACCTTTTGGTAATAGTGAGCCTACGACACATAATGGCAAACAAAAAAAGAAAGTAACATTTCTTGAAACGCCTAACCACCAAACATCCAGAGAAAAGGAAAAACAGGTAACTGATAACGAAATTTTGTAATCACCAATTACATATCTATATTGTCTTTGATTAAGAAATGAGAAGGGCGATGTTTAATAGATCACAAGCAACCATTGATGCTATCTTACTTGCGTCTGGTGCTAATTTTAAAACCTCATGGTGCTATCTTGGTCTTTGCTTAGGTTTGTTTCTATTATTTGTTGATAGTTGTGATAAATTTTGTCTAATGTTGCACATATTCCATTGCAAATATTTATTGTTAATTGTGCTACATTTGTGGGTAAGGATATGCGGGAAAATGATAATAGTGGTAGCAGTCCACCTTTTGGTACTAGTGAGCCTGCGACAGATAATGGAAAACAAAAAAAGAAAGTAACATTTCTTGAAACGCCTGGGAAGGAACAACAGGTAACTGAGATGAAATTTCTTAATCACCAGTTTTATATCTATATTGACCTGGTATGTGAAATGAGAAAGGCGAAGTTTAATATATCACATGCATCCATTGATGCTATCTTACTCGCGTATAGTGCTAATTTTAAAATCAGATGGTGCTATCTTTGTTTGTGCATAGTCTTTTTTCTAATATTTGTTGATAGTTATGTTATATTTTGTCTATTGTTGTATATATTTCGATGCAAGTATTTATTGTTAATTATGCAATATATGTGGCTAAGGTTGGGCAGGAAAAGGATAATAGTGATAGCCCTATTGTAATGTTCTCTAAAAAAAATTCCTAACAGTGCAGTCGATAGTTCAAACAAATAAGAGACAGATTAAGCAAATAGTCATCCTAAAAAACTTTATGAGTAATATTCTAATACTTTTCTCGGTGCATGAAAATAATTTTATAGATTTCTATGATGGTACATCCTGAACACGAGAATCATTCACTTATGCGGGGTTGTCACAATAGCGGAGGGGAATGGAGATTGATATGCAGTCCAGCTACTAATACTAGTGAGCCATATAATATCAATGAAATGAAGGCATTAACTTTTCGTGATACGCCTGACCAACGAAAATTCAAAGGAAAGGAAAAACAGGTACTTGAGATGATATTTTTTTGTTACCAATTTTAGTTTTAATGTCCTGGCATAATAGATTGGAAAAAAAAAGCACTAAATGCATATATGTTAGCAACGTACACTGCAAAAAACAGTGCTATTAGTTTCTTCCACCCATGCTTAATGATTGTGTGAAGCATTCCAAAATTTTAATTGAAATGTAATTGTGATCACAGGAAATGTTACCCTCAACCAACCACTGTATGGAGCGGCGAAATAAAAAAGATGTAAGAAAAAGCGAGAAGTTGTTATCACCATACTATACCCGCGTGCTAGCAGCCACATCTAAGTTCAACAAAAAAGAGAGAGATTTATGCTTCTGGATTTTGGACGACGTGGATAAAATGTATACTCTGAAACTTGATAATTACAGAAGTATGTGATTAATCATTAACCATTCAACATATTTGACAGGGATGAAGCAGTATTCTCAAGTGGTCACATTGAGTGTTTGAGACGAGAGTTATTAACAATTAGACCATCACTATTTGTGAGCACTACTGTTGTAGACATATGGGCAATTGTTTTGAATAACCTGGAGTTGTTAAGGTCACCAGGCTCGCCACTAAGATTCTTTTTTACAGTCGATACTTGTGTAAGTTTTTATGTTAATTTTTACATTAAAGTTGATATATTAGCAGTGCAATAACTGAGTAACTATCTATTTTTTTTTTAAAAAAAAAAATTATTATCAAATCTATGGATAGGCTTTCACTATCGTTAACCCAACAAAGGGCCAGAGCATCGGAGAGAGACGTATCATGTTTTATGACATGATGAAAGAACAACTAAAAAGGGCAGGCCAGCAGCTTAAGAACATTGACATGGTATGAACTCAACTCATGCTTATCTAAAATCACAATAAGGAAAAATTTTGACAATATATTTGTGAATAAAATGCAGCTTTTTTTTCCTATATACCAAGAAGAGCATTACTACATCATGTGTCTGAATCTGAAGAAATTGAACATTGTGCTGATTGACAATTCAACTTCTACAACAAATGGTGCTATTGATATACCAAGTACACTGGTAAACAGAAAAAAAAATGTGATTACACTTTGTAAATTTTTGTATTTATTTATTAGTTGTTCACTTATAATTTGAAAATTAAATAAATTTAATTACAGGTTATGATGGTCTGTCAATATTTGGATTTGAAGGGGCTAATGAGCAAATCTGCTGCCCTAAAGAAAGCAAAAATTGAAAGATTGCAACTCCCATGGGCGTTAGAGAATAATCTAATTGATTGCGGAGTTTACGTCATGCGCCACATGGAGACCTACATGGGAGATGGCGTCAAGAACTGGAAAGTTGGGTTGAGAAAGAATAGTGCAGACCAACTGAAGTACTTAAGAGCGAAGTATTGCGCTGCCATTTTGTCAGCTGATATCAACCTTCACAAGGAACACAACTTGAATGCGGCAGATTTCCACTATAGAATGGCAAAAGCTAGGGGTTCAATAGATGTTGAGAAGTTGTGGATCAGTCATGAACATAATGAGCAGTGACCTTATTAGTCTTAGATAGCAAGGTGTTTTGAACAATTGGTTTGATTATTTACATTATTTTGCATTGAGCACATTAGGTGCAGAGATTGATGAAAGTTTGAATTGATGGGAGTATCTTATTATTTCACAAATTTTGAATACATGTTATTTTATTGTTTGCTTTTTTTAAATGAATTTATTAATACAAATAGAAATGGGATCATAAGAAAAAGATAGCAGATAGTTAATAAGAATATAATATTATGGGACATTGTCCAATACAATGCTATATTTGAATCTACATGACTATCTTAACCAATCAAATAATGTAAATGATGTTATCAACCACTCATTTTAGTGCTAATAATTTCATTCAATAATGCCAATATGAAATAATATCTCAAAACCTTCATTTTGGTTGTATAAATCAATCGTTGTCCCACATGATAAATAAAATAAACTAATCTATTATACTCATACACAAAATGCAAGATTAGGATATGCAATGAACAACAAAAATATTGTATAACCAGTAAATGTATAGTGTCCTGGTACAATCACATACTATGGTCAAGTGGTGTCATTGAGGTATATAACTTAACTAGAAGATTGAGACTGTTCTGGATTCCTGGATTCAAGATAATCTCACTTTTAGGCTTACATGATAGTATGTGCAAGCCTCACAAGGTTGTTCTTAGGTAATCTACAATAAAATATAAAATTTCCAGAAACAGGGTAAAAAATGCACATAGGGGGAAAAAAAGCAGATGCACATTCATGCCACTAAAAATTAAAAACAAGAAAAAAAACCCTTTCAAGACATAAAAAAATATAATGCTAAATAAGAAAAAATGCTACTTTTCTTAAATTTTAGATCACAATAATTTTTTTTAGCCAGTGCAATAGCTATCCCTCTGGCTATTAACCAACATGAGGTAAAGTGATGTCTATTCCAATAAAATTGTCTGTAATCGGCAACACCTAACAATGAAGACACACTCCACGAAATGATGCTTTAAACCGAGAAAAGTGAAACTGGTGTTTTCGGGCTCTTTCGGGCTCGGCAATTAACTGTTAGTAAGTCGATCCTCCACAATATAATTTCTTCATAGAGAAAGAATCTACATCCAGTAAGGCGTTGTTTTATGCTACATGACATTCTTAACCAAACTCATAATTTAAAACGATGCTATCAAACATTTATTTCATTGCTAGTGATTTCATTTCATACTGCTCATTTGACACAACATAAGCATATGACATTACTTATATAAACACCGAGAAACACAACTATTAGGAACAAAAAATTCGCAGACAGTGCAAACCAAAACCATTAAGAAAGAAACACAATGCAAAATATATTCTTCAAAAAAATAATACATCAATTCTTGTATTGTCTCATGTATCAACTGACAAATTTATCACAATTTCTAGCATCATGGCTACTTTTCTGCTTACACTTACTACACATACGCAATGGCTTTTTGCTTCGTTCGATAGCCTTTTCCTTCCTAGATTTTAATCTACTTCCACTACCTTTATTTTTCACTGGGGCCGGGGGTAGCACTTCAACTTCGCTTGGCAAGGGAGCTCCGTAATACTTCTCAAATAAAGAATTTTTCATGGCAGGATCTGATTGCTTTCCTTGAACTGACACAATCAGCTCTTTCTGATCTTTTAGGCAACGTAGTAACCCGTTCATTAACTCCATATTACCTTCAACCATGCCAACACACGAGTAAAACTCTGAAAAAATTTGGTTAGTGATGGATTTACGACCCTCTATAGCAACACATTGGTCGATTACTTCACCATCCACGACGAATATTGGTTTCAATGATGCATGCTTTGTCCAGCGACTAACTACATATTTATCAGGAATGCTTTCAAGCTTCAAATCTTTGAACACAAAAAATATGTGGCTGCATAATCTACCAATTCTCGTAAATTTTTTACAAGTACATGTCGTTGTGTTCTCATTTCTCTCATAAACAACTTTAGAAATTCCAGTGAGACCATCATCAATCTCGTAGACCGACTCTCTCTGGCCAACTAAAACACTGCATACTCGACAATCAAAACAAGCAGCAACGATATCATTTTGTACTTCCCCAAATATTGTTGATGTGTATACATCAGCAGCATGTCTTTCAATCAATAAAGGTGTCTTGAACTGATGAGTATAAGACTCATTTCCCATGTTCATCTGATCTTGGACATGCCTCTGGGCATCCAATGCACTATCAAAATGCATAAAAAACTCAAGTAAATTAGCATATGGGTTTGCATACTTTCCAAAGAAGCTATTCTCACTCTCAGACATAGAGGTTGTCCTGAATAGTCCACTCATTGGAAAGTCTCTAAAAAATGCAGGGATCCAAAAATGTCGAATGTCAAACATTGATTTAAACCAAACATTATCTTTCATATCATACTCATCCATCAACGCATTCCATCCGCCCTCAAAATCTGTTGGTTCATCTTTCTCTGACCAAACCAAATTATCTAGTTTCTTCCTAAAGTCGCCATCTTTTTTTAAATGAGACGGTACCTTATCTGAAACTTTGAACATAATATGCCACATACAAAACCGGTGCTTAGATTCTGGAAATGATCGTTCGACAGCAATTTTAAGTGCTGGATCTTGATCCGTCACAATAATGCGAGGAGCGCCTCCCATTGCCTCTTTGAATTTCTCTAACAACCAAGAGTACGATTCAACGTCTTCTTTTGACAGCAATCCAGCACCAAGGGTCACACATTTTCCATGATTATCCTTTCCAGTGAAAGGAGCAAATATCATATTGTACCTATGAAAACACACATTATTGTTAAGAAAATAGCTAAAAAGACAGGCGGATAAACTACTAGAATGTATAATAGCATGATATAGTCGATCACTGAAATAGCATGACAGTTTGTTAAAAGTAGCATCATACGCTGTACAAAGTAGCACACATGCTGCTAAAAACAACTACACAATTTATAAAAAAATGTCTTCAAGGTAATAAACTTAAATTGTATGTCTATGTTTATGACAAATTAATAGAAAAAGCTAACATAGCAAAAACAAGTACCTGTTAGTTGAGTACGTAGCGTCAAATGAAATAACGTCACCGAAAGAGGCATAGTTCTTTCTTGAAATTGGATCAACCCAAAATAGTCGCGTTAATTTATCTTCTTTGTCAACATCATATTCAAAAAAAAAGGCCGAACAGATTTCTCGCTTACTAAATAGTTTTCCTAAAACCATCTGGGCATCAACCCCTATAGCATAAGCTTTCAAGTCTCTTGCAAAATTTTTAAAATCAGTGCTAGTACATCCAACATTTGAGTATCCACCCACGACTTCTTTAAATAACTTGTAGGATCGCATAGGTCCAATATTTGCTCTGGCGCAATTCAAGACAAAGTTTTGGTGACCGACATCCATATTTCTGCTCACTCGCATAAGATGTTTATGAACTTGGGAAGCTAAAGGATGAGAATGATACTCAACAAACTTATCAACAACATACCCTTTTTGGCCAGCCCATTTCAGAATCAATTTAGCTTCGCAGTTAATACGTTTAGAAACTCTTCTTCGTTTCTTAATAATGTCACTATCTCCATCTGTATGCTCATGTGAATAATTCTTTTGACCTTCCCTGGAGCATAAAATGTAGCTCCTGATTAAGAAACCGTCCGATGACTTTTTCTTAGTTGAACGACGAATATCAAATCCGCACTCAGCTGCGTATTGCCTATAAAATTCGTAAGCATCATCCAAAATATTGAAATGTTTCCCAATAAACGGCTTCAATTCAGGTTTGCAATTTGGTACGAAACGCGGAGGCACATCGGTGGATATTTCAACTTGAACATCACCACTTCCAAGTTCGCCTGCATTTGAGACACGAGATAATTTCCAGTATTGTAGTAATTTAATTTTTGACACAATGCCCATGAAAATAAATTATTGTGAAACAATCTAGAGACTTGAAGAAGGAAAATGAAATAAGCCTGCCAATACGCATGACAATAAAAAAGCATAAAAATATGTAGTGGTTTTCTTATAAGCAAGCCAATATCTAAATAAAAAAATGTACAGACATTACAGAAAAAAAGAAGAAAAATATGTAGTGATTTTCTTTTATATAAAAATCATGAGTAACTGATATAATAATAATTATAGAATTTACATGTTGATTCCATGCTTGAACAAATACAAGATGATTGTATACTTTCTTCTGTAATATAAGAATTATAGAACTTACATGTTGATTCCATGCTTCTACTATATGATCTCTTTGGGCGAAGAAAGTATAAAATTACAGTAAAGAAAGTAAATTGCGTAATTCTTACAATTTGAAAAAAAAAAGATCCAATTCATTTCCCTAAAATCTGCACTTAACATAATTAACAACAATGATTTTGACAATAATAGACATACATAATTAATCATGGTAATTTTAAATAATGTATTATATAATCAAGACCGTTGATAATTATGTAATCAATGGATATGATGAGTTCTTAGTTCTCACACTAGAGATTGGTTCT